ACCTCCAGATCCCCCCCCCCTTTTTTTTTTTTTTTGACAACTCACCTGCCATCCTGAAAGCTGTCCCCTCTGTGTCATGGGAACTGACTATTGCTAAGTCCCTTTTGTAGATGCTGCCAGCTGGCTGGAAGGGAAGGTTCTGAGACATCCATTCTGTCAGATGTAGAGCTGTAGCCTGTTTCTTTCCAGAGAAAGTCACTCACAGCAGCCACTTCCTTAGGGGCTTGGTCCACAGTTAAGACTCTGGGTGGGGCATGGCTACTCATGTGACACGTGTCCCTAAGCACTGCAGTAGCTTCTGGATGCTGTAGGTCAGGAAAGTGTTGTCACCTCTGTTCTGATGTTTTTCTTCCTTTAAAGCCCTAATCATTCAAGGCCATTTTGTTCCCCATAGTTGATGTTGTTTGTGCTCTTTTTGGGGGGTGGGGATGGGGTTTTAATTAACTCCTTTGCCTATTTTAGTGTTGATATAAGTGAAGATGGAATGAAGGCCCTCATCACTCTGTCCAGTGGGGATATGCGCAGGGCTCTGAACATTCTGCAGGTACGATCCCACTCTGGGCATATTAAACCATAGATTTGAAATAGCTTTACAAGACCGACAGACAGCCAATCCATACATTCATTCAGACATCTAGCACCAGTGAGACTCGCCTTGTTGTACACTAGTTTCTTGCCTGTGTGTTCCCCTAAGGGAGACTCAGAACTGCTGCAAGAGAGGCTGGGGGAGGATGCTGTGCAGCAGAGGGCAGCCCTTCCAGTGTGGAAAGTACAGTGACATGTCACTGCAGCAGGACAGCTGTTGACAGCCCCTGGGTCCTCCTGTCTGCAGAGTACCAACATGGCCTTTGGAAAGGTGACAGAAGAGACCGTGTACACCTGCACTGGGCACCCCCTAAAGACAGATATCGCCAACATTCTGGACTGGATGCTGAATCAAGACTTCACCACTGCCTACAGACGTATCCTTCCTTGTGGCTGCTGCCAGGCTCGGGCCCAGCCAGCACCTGCACCACCCAGGTGGAAGGTATCAGCTGGTAGACAGCAGGTGTCCCCAGGTGGAGAGTACCCTTCTCTTACTGAATGGCTCTGGCCTGTGAGAGGCCAAAAGTAGCTTCTCCCTTCAGTTAGGCCTTGGGTGGAGGAAGCAGTCATTAAAGGGGCCTCATTAACTTGTTTTGCAGGGAAATGAAAGGCTACAGATAACGGTGTGATCTTTTAAGGAGCCGTTTGTTCTGCTCTTTAAGAGACAGCTATGCTTCTTAGAAAAGCCTCATTGAAGATAAAACAGGACAAGTTAGAATTGGGCCTGTGTGCAGCTAGAAGTGGAGAGGTTTCTGTCTGTGCTGGGATGAAAAGCCCCACTTTGAAGTCACTCGCCAAGGGCTGGGGTTGAAGCCTCCCTGCAGCCTGTTCTGGAATGGTTTCCCTTCCCTTAGCTGCTCCTCCCTAGACATCATGGAGCTGAAGACTCTGAAGGGCTTGGCTCTGCATGACATCCTGACAGAGGTTCACTTGTTTGTGCACAGAGGTAACTGTGGTGGCCCATGGTGGGGAGGGGTGGGGAGGCATAGCTGTGGGATGGCTACAGAGGGTGTGAGGTTTTCATTCCTATGCAGAAACAGTGTCTGGCCCTTAATCTCCAGCAGCTCTGACTTGCTGTTAAAACTTTGCTCCAAACCCTTCCTAGTGACTGGAGCTGCTGGGTGAGTGAGTAGAAATAGGGGAACTCTATTTCCTCAAGGGAACATCTTAGAGCAGCAAGTGCTGTATTTTACTTTTCACTCTTGTTACATGTCCCCCACACTAGGGATTGAAGCCAAGCCCTTGTACATGCCTGTATACACATGACCTACTACTTCTGGGCTATGTCCACAGACCTCATTTTGGGGATCTGCACGCAGGGCTGTGGCATCCTAAAGCTGCTCTCTAGCCCATGAATCACATTTCCAGGATTGCCTCCCTCAAAGGGGAGATCTGCAAGCAGATCTTCCTTTAAGTTCCCTGCTTTCTGCCTTGTTCCGGGGATCAATCTCTGGTTGGGCCATACCTGCCAGTCACCCCAGATAATGCAGTCAGCATGGGGTGGGGGTAGGGAGAACCACATGCAAGCTTTTAGAAGAGGCTCTCCAGGGAACCCCTCCATATAGCCTTTTGGAAGCTTTTCTTGAGACAGCAGCCTCCTTCAAATGGAGAGGCTCCATCTGGCAACCAGTACAAAGTGTGCTTAAGTTTGGCTTCCTAGTTACTATGTAGCTGTCACCCACCATGGACAGTATTGACTTGTCTGTATTCTTATGATCACTGTACTAGGGGATGAGTACTGTGTGTGATTGAGTGTTCTTGTTTGTTTTTGGTGATGCAGATGATGGAATTTATCTTCTAATGTATGCTAGCCAGCAGTCTTCCACTGAGCCACACCCCAAAACAAAAATCACAAAATAGCCTATAGCCTATGGGTCCTATACCTTCCTTAGCCTATTGGTCTGGTGGCCTGTCATGGGCCTGGGGCTCAACCCTGTCAGAAGCCCCGTGTGTGATGCTTAAGCCTGACCTTTCCTCTGGTTTTATTTGTTTTATACCAATAAGTGACAGGCCTTACTCACTTGATTTTGTTTTTCCCCAGTTGACTTTCCATCTTCGGTTCGGATACATTTATTAACCAAAATGGCAGACATTGAGTGAGTGTTTTCCCGGTTTTAATTCTTTGGATGTCCCCTCTTCTGTTGTAAGCTTTTTAGTTTCAGCTTGTGTGGCTTCGGCTTGTGTGTCATTCAGAAACGGGCGATTTGGTTTGAGGTAGTGCCAAGTAGAATGTGGTGAAGGCTGTGCCCTGCCTGCAGAACACAGGGAAGTAGTACAGAGGGCAAGCACAGCTCAGTCCCATGTCTGAACAAGAGGGTCCCTTCAGTCCTCCAAGCTTTAGCCCATGGCTCTGCTTCAGGTGGGGTATGCAGGTCATTTGGGGGTGCCCAGCTACCCTGCTTATTAAGGCATTGTGGTATATAGGAAGGAGCACAGTGGAGGAAAAGCAAACAAGCTCAATTTTCCACTTTGCTCAGCTCAGTAAACACTGTCATTAGTCCCTAGTAACACTGGTAGCTGTCATTTAAGTGGACAGCACACTGGGCCCTGACCGAATGTCACTATCACCAGCTCCAGCAGGCTGTAACTGGCTCATGTAGACAAATTGGGTCATTTTCTATCACTACGTTGGGAGTGATTTTGCTTTCGGTGGCTAGGCATTTAGGAGTGACAAGATGATGCCAGTGCCCTGCTTTACTGCCTAAACCACAAACCTCCAGCTCCCTTCCCAAGTCCTCCTATCACAGTTTGTAAGCCCTCATCACACACCCTGCGGTCTGTGGAGGGTGAAGTGGGTGGAATTTAGAACCTGATGGTTCTGGGTTTTCAGTCTGTCCTCGGCATCGTCAATCAGATGGCTGAGTTGAGTGTTTGGGCAAGAGACTGTTGGAGGACACGGACAGGAGTGCTATCCAGAGTAGGTATATCAGCTCTGGCTCCCCTTGGCAGGCCACAGCAGCTCTCACGTTCTCGAGCTCACAGGTGGGGGCCTTGTATGCTTTATTCTCAACCTGGGGTTGGTGTCTTCAGGTATAGACTCTCCGTCGGCACCAGTGAGAAGATACAGCTGAGCTCCCTCATCGCTGCTTTTCAAGTCACCAGAGACCTGATCGTCTCAGAGGCCTAGCAGATCCAAGGCCTGATGGCCCTGCCTCAGGCCCATTGGTGACTAGAGGACAGAGGACTTGCTTACCGGTATAGTACTACTGCCCTGTGCCACTGAATAAAGCCGGTCACAGAAGTCTCTCCCCAGGTATTTGGGCAGTGTTATCTGTGGCTGTTTGGAGCCGGGATCTACAGAGCAACTTTAATCTGTAACTATCCACGATGCTTGTCTTTTGTAGGGGAAAATAATTCTTTGGCGGGGGGGGGGGGGGGGGGGCCAAAAATCTTTTTTTACAGG